GAGGAAAAATGTCTTTACTGAGAGAGTGGTTAAACATTGGAACAGGCTGCCCAGGGAAGTGGTGGAGTCCCCATCCCTGGAGGTATTTAAAAGACGTGTAGATGAGGCACTTAAGGACATGGTTTAGTGGGTGGTGGTGTTGGGTTGACGGTTGGACTCGATGATCTTAGAGGTCTTTTCCAACCTCAATGATTCTATGATTCTATGATTCTCCTGACTTCCAAAAGCGCAACTCATTTCAAAAGCAAGTAAACTGGTGCTTATCTCCCTTCAATTAGTCTGTTCCCTGTGTACAAGCAGAGTACTACACCATGGCCTTTCCGTCTGCTGGAGGTCTAATCGTTTTCTTAGACTGACTCCCTAAGGAAAGGAGGCGTATGTGACCATATTGGAGCAAGGGTTCCTTACTAGTAACTGTGAAAGACACTGGCCATATTTGTACAGCCCTATTTGACAGAGTGGCAGAAATATCAAAGGGGTCTTACAATGCCCTAAGGTTTGCTAAACTAGGTGTCCTGGGAGAAGAGAAAGTCATTATTTGTCTTACATGGGAGACAAGCTGCAGTGTTGCCCACGTTATTCTCACAGCAAAGAGTATATACAGGAGAGAGTGCTTAAAAAACTCCCCAGTTACACTGTAGGACAATACAAGCAGCCTGCAGTTGGCAGTTTACAACAGCTCACAACTGTCATCAACAGTCAGCATAAGTAAGTTATGATTGAATCCGCTCTCTTTCCAAGAAAATAATGAGAAAAGCAGTTATTAATGTGTGACTTGAGACTCCCTCATTAGACGAGCAGGGGCTAAGGAAAGCCAGGGAAAGAGTCCTTGGAAGGACACAGAAAGGCTTGTAGCTCCTGAGAGGAAAAAGAACCACTGAAGAAAGCAGAGGCGTTATCAGCCTGAAACAAAGATCAGGTGAGATTAGAAAAGGGGACCAGAACAAGGACCCTATGTACACTTTGAACTTAAAGCTGAATCCCCACGGACCTCTGAGTTCAGGTCCCTGAGACTCCTGACCAATGAACTGTTACTGGCACCTACATGTTGCTGCTCAACTTTGTTCAGTTGTACATGTATCTAGTTACACTTGCCTGTTAGAGGATGGACTAAGTTACTTGACAGCTCAGATGCTAACTACTCAGATTTATAACTTTATCGGCAGCAGGAAAAATCTAAATCCAAGATTGCAATCAACCACAAAACACAAATCCTTAAAAAACACAGCAGACTACATTATTTTCAGGGCTTTTCAACCTACTTCTTACACCCGCAAAACTAAAACTAAGACAAAACCGACAGAATTCAAGGCTTGAGGGCCCTGGTCTCTACTCCATCCCACACCACAACCACCCACAACAGAAAATTTCAGTTGGGCAGATTTACCAAGAGCAGCAGTTCAGCACAGGTGCCTCTACAAACAGACTAACCCAGTGGAAAACTCAGTCTAAGTGGTGCGACTCAACAGCGTGATGGCTTTCAGATCCCACATCAAGGCTCAGAAAAAGCTTTCTTGCAACCTGAAGGCAATAAGAGAGATACTAAATGGTGTCTTAAGAAATTGCTTTTAAATGATCGCTTTTCAGAACTTAACTGTATTTACTCAGTTCAGCAGCTTTCAGTAAGACATCAGACAGGCTTCAAATCCTCTACACAACCCCAGATCTGCACAGTGCAGGCAGACATTGCAATTCCCCTCTTCCTCTGGGACAGCCTGCCTGCCCCAGGCCCTGTAGAGACTGATGCGTTTCCAGTGTCCATGGCTCACTGAAGGTCTCATCTGAGAGTCCTGGGAGCAACACAAGAGCTTGAACCCCATCATCTAAGTTTCTCAATTAATTGCACATATGTAGGACATCAGTGCTCGTGCCACAATAATGTAAATCCATATTGTGAACGAAGATCTGGTGACACGACATTTAAAATGGAAATACAAAGCTGTAATTGATTTTTCAGGGTGTTGTTTGGATCACAAATCTAGCTTCATTCTAACATTCCTTCTGTACATTACTTTGAGTGAATGAAGCAGAAAGTAGCCTCATGTTAGCAACTGATTTTGCATATTGCACCTTTTCTGTGTTTCCTAAATTAAACTAAAAATCAGGATTACAATGAGAAAAATCTACTAGACAATGTACATCTGACAACCAGTTGCATGTTTAATAGACTCATTTTCCACTCAGAACTGGGTGACAAAAAAACCAAACCAAACCCAAAAAAACCCCAACAGCAAATAAGATCTGGAATCAAAAGCCTTTCACATTCTCCTTTTAAATCTGTCAGAGAAATGGTTACAGACATGGCCGGGAACACTGTAGTCCCCTTATTTATCTTATGAGTTTATGTGCTTTCCTATAAGAGTAAGAGAAACCTCAATAGTAGGCACCATTCAAAAAAACCAACAGCAAATAAGATCTGGAATCAAAAGCCTTTCACATTCTCCTTTTAAATCTGTCAGAGAAATGGTTACAGACATGGCCGGGAACACTGTAGTCCCCTTATTTATCTTATGAGTTTATGTGCTTTCCTATAAGAGTAAGAGAAACCTCAATAGTAGGCACCATTAATATTAGAAAGAAGCTATACATTTTGGTGAAAATCCAACAGTATTCTGCAAGCTACTGACCCTTATTTGTTGTATATTCCAGAAGAGATTACAGACTTTCAAACTCACATCGCTGCTGCTGTATGCATAAGATGATTAAAAATTGATGCCTACCTACTGCCCAAAAGTTTCGGAAGACAGGCTTTTTCTTGCTTCCACATTGGAACAAAAACTTTGCTTAAGAAAAAAAAAAGTCATAGTATAGTACAAAACAGTTAAGTGAGTCTACAAACAGAATCAACTTCTTAAAGCTAAGTGAAACCTTTATCAATATCCCAAAACAGATTCATCCCAAAGTAGCTCCTCTTCTCTTTTGCCATCTATCTGTGGCTTCTTTTTACCCTTTTTGTGCTTTTTGCTCTCTTTCTCAGCAAAGTTTTCTTTAACTCTTTTATCTTTATAAGGTCTTGATTTCTTCTCATTTACCAAATCTACATCAAATTTAATTCTCTTTTGCTTCTGATTTTCTTTTCCAAAATCTACACCTTCAATATTTTCCTTTCTTTTCTGCTTTGTGGCTTCTTTCCCATACTTCAGCTCTTCACTGATGTATTTTTCCTCCTCAAAATGTTTTATCTGAAATATCTGTCCTTTTCTGTAAGAGCTGGTAGAAGTTTCAGCAAACATAAGTTTGTAGCAGTCTTTAGATTCTGCAACCGATAGGCTGAAGCTCTTATCTCTGATGGTGACCACGTCAGATGCTTGCTCTTCTTTACAGTATCCCTTGTTATAGCAACAATCAGGTGTCTTTTCTAGTGCATGCTCACAAGCTGATGGCCAGCTTGGCGATCTATTTTCCCCACTATTTGTAGGTGACTGGGTTTCTGAGAAAAGGCTGGAATGCTGGCCTTGTTCACACTTGAAGTTTGAAGATACAACCTCACCAAGGTCACCTCCTCCTTCAATGTTTTTATCTTGAAACTCTTCGTCTTCTGCTTTTCCTAAATACCTTCTTGGCTCTAGACCTCTAGCTTTCTGAACTTTAATGTAATCTGTTAATTCATCTTGAAAGGAGTCATGTGTTTTCTTCGATTTCTTCATGAGATTGACAAGCACTGTTTCTCTGCATAAATTGGATAGAAAGGCTTAGTTATTAATACTGACCAATTTGTTTAGCATCTGTTGAGTTAAAAAAAAAAAAAAAAAGATTGCATTTCCAGGTTAGAAAAAGAACATATTTCAAGCGTGCTGTTCTGTGTAACTACATGGGCTCTGTTACACACAATCACATCTGTAAAGCTGATGTTACAGGGAACAGATTCTACTCTTTGTGAAAACTGAAAGTCTGGAATAACTTCATGAAGACCAAATGAGTTTCTTGTGACCTAGGGCGCTGCAAGAATAAGATGCTTTTAAAATGACTGCATACATTTTTAAAACTACTTTGTAAAATGAAAATTTAAGATTTGCTCTTATTAACTAATCTCCAATTAGCTGCAGATAAGAAGCAATTACATTATATACCGACTGTCAAGTAATAAAGTTACTGATTTCTTTACGAGATTCATTCTATAGAACAGTTGCAGTCCAGTAATTTCAGGCAAACTGTGTGACTCCACAGCAGAAACAAAACAGAACAGAAACAACCAACCTGGATTACTAAAAACCCCAAACAAGATAAGTGTGCTCCCAAGGCAAAACTACTTATCAGTTTATATTCTACTCTCCCTTTCCTCAGGCTGGAAGATAAAGCGGTTAGATGATAAAGATATCCCCTGTGGGAAGGGCAGCTCCGAAGACCCATCCCTTAAATGTATCCTGTTCTGCCTTAATTCACCAGCTTTATACATTCATTTTGTTAAACTATAGGTAGGCCTGTAGCAGTTCCCTATATTCCTATTTTTCGGGACTCTAATGCTGTTGACTAAACAAACACTTAAAATCACATCAGTTCTACATCAGTCTCATGGTTATATTATTATTGCGCCTTCACTTAAAATATGTCTTATCAAAATGCTTAACATGTAAGCAATTTTGATATTTAGCCTACTTGCACAGCAATCTGTAAAAAGTACATCTTAAGTCACCACAATATCCATTCTGCAATTAACACAGTCTACAAGCCCTCTTCTGGGTAAAAGGGGAAGTGCAAGAGCTATCATCTATCCCATAAATGATCTTATGCCAAATGTAAGATGCATGTTGATGAATCCTGAAAGCAACACAATTGATGGAGACTTGGCACTTTTCGGGATTAAGGTCTTCTTTGCCCTGTCAATAGGAATCTTTAAGTTCAGACCATTTCCTTCTAGACCGAGCACTAAAGATGCTGTACCAAAACAGGTACTGCTACCCCCAGATAGCAAAGTAAGTGGGAAAACTGTACAGGTTTCAGGACCCTTCCCCTGTGGGTTGTCATTGAAGATGCAACTGTGGGAACTCTAAGGCTGAATTTCAGTCACAAGTATGATGTTTAAATGGACAGTGCCCCTTTAAACCAGTAAACCAAGCAACAAAAAAAACCCCAAAACCAAAACAAAAAAATCCATGAACTAGTCAAAGTCACTTAACAGCAGACAACAGGGCTAATGAAAAAGTTTGAAAGTACAAACTACACAGGAATAGCAACAAAAGACTTACTGACTTACTTAATCCGGTGCTTATTTCCTTGCACGTGGGACTGGTATGTTTCTATAGATGTAAGTGCGATGTTACATATGGCGCACATGTAATAACCAACACCAACTGCTGAAAACAAGGAACCTGTAGGTTACAGAGACTACAAATGAAAGGCAAAACTCAAAGCACATCACAATCCCATCCCATGCAAGAGTCCTAACATAATGTTCCCATAAATGACACTTGTAGACAGATATAAAGTCACTGCTGCAATTTTACACTAGAATAGTATTTATGAAGGGAGCTGGTGAGGTGTACAGTTGCAGTGTAACCACGGTTTAAACATTAACAAAGAGTATTTCTGATGACTGAAGTGATCCAAGATAATTCCAGTAAACTGTTGTCAAGTGCTGATGAGCATGAACTGTACTGAAAAATTAAATACTATTGTAAATACCTGACACCCAAAGCAAGCACCAACAGATACCAATCCAGTCAGTCCAGATTTAATTAAAATAAGATCAGTTTAAATACTACCTGCTCAAATGTTCATGCAGTGTTGGTTCAACCCTGTGAAGATGCTGAGGGAATTGTCGATACAGTACATTATGAATACGGTACACGGAGCCTCAGGCAAATATAAGGTAAGGTCAGATGAGGAAAACCCTTGTGTTTTCTAGGTTGTCGTTTTCTCCTCTCTACAAGCTGTGTCATCCATAAACCTAAATATTCTGAAACCAGTGAGTAACCTTTATCCCCATGCAAACCCAAGAGCTTCATCCATTAGCAAAATGCAGCATTAATTCCAATGGGCTATTGCTTTGCATCAAAATGTATTATTTTGTTTAAATTATAGCATGACTTAATGAGAGCTGTTTGATACTAACAATGACTTTTGATTATCAGGTAGGATTTTGAATTCCTTACTCAAGAAAGGATTGACAGTTCTGTTGCACAGGACCAGATGATGCCCCCTCAAAATTAAGGGAAGTTGCACAGCAACAGGGCCTTGGCTTTGCACACAGTGCTTGAGCTGAAGACAGTCCCGATGGGAGGCTAGAGAACAATGACTGTTTAGGAAACAAATTTCCTTATGTGGGAGGATTGACATAATTACAACAACCAGTTTAATGAATAAAAGATTAAGGGAAGCCATGACACCAGTTTTCAATTATTTAAAGAATGTGACAAAAAGGAAACAAACGATTCAATTCTTGTGTCTGCTTCTTGTTCTGTGCACAGCAAAAAAATATATTGTGGTCAGAGAGAGCTGAGTTCAATGTCAGTAGAAGGTTTTAAGATCAAGAAGTCCTGGGGGATGTTCCTTATGGAAGTTGTGGAGTTTCCAGCACAGACGTTTTTTAAGAACAAGGTGGATGAACATCTTAAGAGTGACACAGATACAACTGATCCTGGCCTTGGATTTAGGGGACTGGGCTATTTTCTAGGATCCTTTGAATTTGACCACAGAACTCAGTGAGGACTGGATTTGGGTCTCCAAATCAGTAAGAAATGTTTTCCAGCCTACAGCTGTCAGAGACAGAACTTTAGCAGTTCATAGACCAAACAGAAAGGAAGAAAAGAACTTTTTCTGTAATACAGGAGAAGACTACCATTTCCTTGCACACATCAGAGCAGTTCCTTGAACAAATCAGAGCACTCAAGCTACACTCAAGAGATTGTAACACTTGCTCATGTTCTGCTTACCATTTGTGCTGGATTCTGCAGGGACAGCTTTGTCTCCCAGCTCCTCCAATATCTTTCTCCGTGCTTCGTTTCTTTTGTGTTTCTTACCAACATAATGCTGCTGAGCCACGAGTGGATTATTGAAGGGAGCACAGCAGAGCTTGCAGTACTTGTCTGGATCATTTAACTTCAACCTTGTGTTGGAGGATGACGAAGACTCTTCAGCTTTTGAAGGCAGCAAGGGCTTCTCAGATGATGGCTTCTGTAAAGCTGGAGACATGCAAGTAGAGGATACATCTGCTGACAGCACAGCAAAGGAAAGGCTAAAACAATTCCATAGAGCAAAACAGGTGACTGCAGAACTACAGAGATAGAAAGTAGAACAGTCTGTTGGGTGCTGAACTACTTGCCAGAGACTATAAAATATCTTAATCCTTACAAGGATATGAAAGTACAGACTGATAAGGAACACAACCCTGGAATATTCAGAAACCCCACCATTAAATACCTAAAAATCAGCTGCGTTTGATGGCTGGTCACTCTAACATCCTTATACAGTCCAAGAAGACAGATGTACCCTGCAGAGGGTGATTCAGAGCACATACACTATGCCCCATCTTTAAAAACGGTTCAGCAACTTGTACAGGACTAACACCAGTTAAGTGTTGCTCATGGACTATTGTTTTTTAATTTCTTATCATATTAATTTATCAGAGGAACATCTTGTTGGGACTGCAGTGAATTCTCAGAACAACAATAAACACCTTTCATTAATAAAAAACCAGAAATATTTGCCTTTAGTTCCAGTCAATGAAAGATAGGGAATTTGAAAGCAAGGTTCCATGGCTTCAGTTGCACAGGGTAGTATCCTTGTTTATTCACCTAAGGAGTTACCACAAGACAGTTCCACAACTTCGGCAGAATAGAAAGGCATAGAGACATGGCAAGTGTAGGAAGATACTTCGCTATACTTGTCTCAGAGAGTGACAGGAAAACACATGCAAAGCAAACTATTTAGTTCTTACCAGAAACAGGCTGCATGGTCTGTGCTGGCATGTGGGCTTGGTCTCCTGATAATTGCTTCAGCTTTTTAGCGTGGATCTTTCCCAAATAGTGAGACAAAGCAACAACTGGGGAAGTAAAAATCACGTTGCAGAGATTGCAGTATTTGTTTTTGTCCAGTACTCCGCTCCCATCCGTCTGAAACCACGCAAGGGCAAGCTCAGTTACAAGCATTCACTGAAGTATACAAGGAAACATTTTATTTAGCCATGAAGAGGAATAGTCACCTGAAAATTGACACAATCCGTTTTCTTCTGTTTGCCATGCTCCTGCCTCCCATCTTTCTCACCATGCATTTGGATGTAAAGACGAACTTTCTGAGCATGCTTTTTGCCCTGGGAAAGGGCAAACTAGAATTATTCCTGTTTCAGTAACAAGGATCCAAGCAGTGATTTATCCAGTGACCGGGACTTCATCCATCAAAAACTGCTTTCAACGTTTGCCAAATTGTATTTGTATAGAGCAGAGCCACAAGCGGACAAACGCCAGCTCATGTAACAACACTATACTTTAACCAATAATACAGTACTTAGCATTACTTATAACATTTTGCCTCGAGTAGCCCTTGGAGTCATCTACTCTCAACTCTTTGAGAAACCAAAAATCCTGACATGCCTCCTTACAAACAAGGATGCTAAAATAGGTAAGGAAAGGAACGCAGCCATGCCACAGAGCAAGTCTGCTGTGTTCCTTTACCACTAAGCCTGGGCGCTTGACATCAAGGCTGTCCTGTATCGTGGCACAGAAGAGTAACAGGCAGCAGGACCTAACTTACCTTCCGAAATAAAAAGTCTAGTCTCCCTGTACAGTCAGTAGAGAGAAACAGGTTTCCCTGGAAGCTGAGTTAAAGAATCTCCAGCTTGGGGTCAGTCAATGGAGATTTCTACACCTTTCTACTGAGGATACAATAGTCCAGGTACCTAAAATTGGGTGTTAACATATACTTCCCTCAGCTGCAATTATTTTTTAATTCTTAGGTGCTCCCTGAACTCATAACCTTCAAAGTCTTGCACTTGTAATGTCCTTACCTACATGCCACACTATACAGTGGTAACCTACAAAGCAAAACAAGTAACTTGTCTTCTCTGACCTAATGCTTTTCAGATGTCTTTTAAGGATTCTGAGGAGCAGTGCAGGATATTATAACAATATTATCAAAGAGAAAAAGGACCCATCATACCTGGCTAGACAATCCAAGCACAACTGAGAAGAGTCAGTTATTTCCATCAATTCATTTTGTAATGGTGAAGTCAGGTAACTTTACAATTGCATCTATTATCCTCAATTGGATTTTGATCCGAGAAACAAAATCAAACTGAGGGTCTGAACTCTGTGACGTTCTGACAGTACAACTGCTGCTTAAGTTAAATCAAAATAAGGAAATACAACACCTTGCAAGACCTGAGTCTTCATAATGTGAATAGCAAGAAAGACTCCTGACAGCAACTGACATGTTAAACTTTAACTTTTGCAAGAAGAAAGAAAAAGACAGAAATGTCTGTGCCTGCAAACCCTCAAGATCAAGTTTCAAAATAAAGCACGCTTTCCCATGTTTACAGCAATATCCCAAGGCACACAGTTATTCCAAGAAATGCCCTCAGCATGATTCATACAACCTACCTCAAGCAGACACTGGTGCACAGAGCAGCATGTGCGTATTGCTGGGTGAGGCATCAGAAGGCATGACCTCGATCCTCAATAGCTAGCACTGCCCTGTGCCATACATATGTTCTGGCTCACGTGGTACAGTTCTGCTTCAATCCCATATGCAGCATGGCCTGAACCTGCTCAGTTCCTTCTAAAATCACGCTGCAATATGCAGGTGATTGCCCTTCACTATACTGAACCCACAACTTTCACATTCAAGTCTGGTTAATGTCTAAGTCTAGCATAAGCCTTGAGAAACACACTATAAAAAGTCTTTTATACACTACGTAGAAACCCCAAACAAAGCAAAGCCCCAGTGCTTGCTAGGAGAAATTCTCCTTTCTAGCCTACCTTATAGTGTGACATCCTTTGAGACTCAAACTGCAGCACTGCCCCGCAGACCTTACAGAAAGTGTCGGTGAAAAGGTCTTTCCTTGTTGCCTCATCTAAAATGTCATCTAAACGGAAAGAGCAAAAGACAAAAATCATCCAGTAGTTAGGACAAGATATATTTGCATGTCTTTGCTTACACAAAACATCAACCACTTTAATATTCACATGCAGCACAAGATGAAGGAACCAATGTTCATCCACTGAATCACACTGTACCTCACTGTGGCTTCAAAGCAATGCTGTAAAGCCATCTAAACCTTCCTACTTACAGAAGTATTGCTCTCCTGGACTTATAAAGTATTACTATAAGAGTACCTGGACTTTAAAAACAAAGACAGAGACTCTTCATTGGGTTTTCAGTCCACTTCAAATAGAGCACAACGTCAGAAACACTTGACTAATGGCCTAAAAAGAAGGATTTTAACTGGACTAGATCACACAGTTAGTTAAATATGGGAATACTCCGTAAAGAAGATATTTAAAGAAAGTCTGGGAGCAGCTCAGTACATGAGAAAGGCCAGGAGGTCTCAGATGCTTAGGAAGGTTGTACCTGTGTCCCCTATAACAATTTAACTGATTTAGTTATATGGGGAAAAACCACTCCAATGGCTTGTTTTGATTTTCTTTGCCCTGTTCCCAGTTAACTCGTTGCCTGTATACACTTTAATTCGTACCAAAATTGGCCCAGACTTGAAGCTATTCCTGAGTAATTGTATGTGCAGGCATATTTGATCTGGAGGGGACACTCTAATAAGCACTTAAAAGTAGCACCAACATCATGTCAATTAAGAGAATTAAACATACCCTTCAGAAGACCATAGCTGTGCTAGCAAAACCCTCACAAAGACAAAGCTACATCACCACCCCAGTTCTTTCTCCTCTTAATACACTTAATTCATTAGGGAAACCAGTTTAACTCATATTGCTTGAAACACTTCTCTGGTACAGGCTATGCTTTCAGGGAGCAAGTTTACCCATGCTGCTATACCACCAAAACTTCTTCTGTGCTGACAAACGCTAAGGCTACCTGTTTCTTTTTCATCCCCAGTGGGTCACACTAATTCTAATTAAGCTACAGTTTCACTTTTTGGCATGCCCTGCTCTTAAAAATAAGCCAAAGTTGAACAAGTTTAAAACAAAAATAAAAGAAGCCACATAACTAGACAGTTCAACTAAACCATGCTCTTCAAATGAAGCTGAGATTAAAGGGAAAATACTGGGGAAAGTATCGTGATGCCTTAACTGAGCTTAAACCCTCTAAGTTTACCCAACATGGAAGCCACGTGTGGAGCAGTTGGCTTTCCGTGCTTTGCACACAGCTTGGAGAGATCGTGGGCAAGGAAAGCATCGCTCCCTGTGGTCTCAAGGCTCAGTGCCAAAAGGCATCTAGAAACCCATAAAGGCAATCAGCCTTTACCCTCAATTCTAAAGTGTGCTCTCTTGGCCCCTTGCCAAAGCAAAGTAACATCCAAGGGACTATGAAAAAACAGAATCAAATACTGTGTATTGTCTCCTGTAACTCTAAATAACGGTCCTAAGCTGTGGGACGGTCAGCTCACAAACGATTAAGGAAGGACTAGAGTCTACCCAGTCCCCCACGAGTGCCCTGGACAACACATGACTGCCATCTTTGCACAAGTAGAAAGCCATTAAAAACAGAGCATGAATTTCAGTACAAGCTGTATGACATACACTTTTAACTGAGCCAGTACCACCCCAGGAATGTGGCTTCAGTGGAAGCCTGAAACAAGGAATGCCAAACCGCTTTGACAAGCCAACATTAACAAGTGCAACCAGGTGAAAAATCTACTAGCAGCTCTACGGGCACTGACAAAACCTGAGGAATGGCAGGGGCAGAGCTGTTTCTCAGACTGTGTGCATGGCTAACCCCACTTTGCCTTCCCAAAACAGCACTCCTGAATTGTTTAACATACAGATCTTAATAAAGCTGGCTCTGATGAGGCTTTTGGCCAAGATTGCAACAACGACTGGGTATCAAAATGCTATTGTCTAGCATGGTTTACCATCAGTCCCTGATATAAGAATTAATTTCCTAATAAAACCTTTATTTTCATGAGGTACAATGGCAGGTGACTGGTCCTGTAGAGCTTTTGTTTTCTGTATTTTGAGTCATCCAGAAATGTTCAATATTCTACAGTTACTGATTCACGTAGCTTAGCCGCTTCAAGCAGAGGAGCGAAAGATGGACATAATAAACAACTTGAGTTGATCCACACAAGAAAATTCAATGACTTGCTTCTGGGCATTAGATGAAAGCCCATCTTGCACCCGAAACACATGACTGCCAATGTTTGTAACAGAAAAAGCCACTTACAAAAGAAAATTACACCAGTTTGCTCAAGTGTACTGAACTGCAAAAACAGCTACCGAGAGAAAAATAACTGGAACAATATTCTCTATTTAAAAAAAACAACAAAAGACAAATTGCAATGCAACTAGGCACAAGTCTATGAAATACTACTATCATGGGCAGTATTCACTATATTTCAATTTGCGTAAGTTCTCACTGGAAAACAGATCTTTGTTTCAAAGACAGACTTCTTTATACTAGTTAAGGACAGTGTTCTATGCATATTTTCCTTGACTTAGCAGTGAACTGCACAGCCTTCTTGGCAGACAAAAATCAACGAAGTACATGCTACAAAAAAATCCTAAAACCATTGTAATGTGACATTAAAATTGGGTTTTTAATTCACCGCCTTCTTGGCTGACCACTGCAATGAAAAGATTGGATTATAGGGACCAGAAGTCTGGTTGTCCAAGTAACTCCTGTTGTGCCTCTTGGAGCCGTCCTGAACCCTGCTGTGTCCTTGTCCTCAATGGCATTTTGCAGTAACGGGTGAATTGTACTAATATATATTCTAGGGACATTTTTAAATATTGCTCTTCATTGTTACAAGAGGAGTTTTCATTCTTCAATATCGTAAAAAGGCGGACAGGACTTGACTTACTCAGATTCTTTCTTCTTTGTAAATTTATCACACCATCTTAGTTCTTTTTTCTCTTTATAGCGTTGTGTTTTCTATTTCTCATTAAGTCTTTCCATTTTTCACCTCCTAACACTGTTGTCCCTCTGTTTTGGCTCTATCTTTTCCCAAGATAAGGTTATGCTACTACAGCTGAGACAGCAGCGATGAATACAATAATCTCAGTAAAGTCTTCTACCTCAGTCTAACGCTTGTAGCATTGCTAAGCCCAAGAATTGGTTTCCCCCGAGAGAGAGATCTACAAAAATAAAGACACAGAGTTCACAACAATTGCCTTGATTTTGTAACCTTAAAGATTTGCTCAACTCAGTTTTTCTCCGTGGTCACAAGATGACTATTAACACGTATCACATGAAACAGGCAGGGTTCCCAAACAGTATCTTGGCTGGGGAACGCAAACCATGAGCATGGTAACGTAACCTGCTTTAATGCAGGTCTTGGCATTCACCTGCTGTTAAATTAGCAATAGCATGGGAGTTCAGCTCCGGTTTTGTCAGTACGATACAGCCACGCACAGCATAACCCTGTCTGCTTTCCTTAGACCAAACAAGGCCAGAACATCCTGATCCACAAAAAGGATACAGCAGCTGCTACCCAAGTCGGTCAGAAGCACAGCTACCTAACACTACTGAAAAAGCTGGGTAGCCACTTTTAAAAACCCTTATCTGTTAATTTCAGCCTCAAACCATGTGAAAAACTGTATGTATGAATATAATCTTTTTATTTTCTGTATAGTTAGCTGAATGTTCGGCAAATATATATGGCTTGGATAACATATGTCTATGTGGTCTTCTGACAAACTGCATGGAGACAAATTCAGGAATAAACTGATGTGTCTCTCACTTAAATCCCAACCAGGCAGTGAGTTGTAAATGGTCTTCAGTCTGGTCTGGGCAACTGCAGGCTCCTTCCCAACGGCAACCACGCGCATCAATAGCCCTCTTTGCTATACAACATGTCTCTGCTCACCTCCAGAGAAGGGTCAAAAACAAGTCTCCCCTTTCTCCTTTTAAATATGCCTCAAGACCATTTGCGACACACATAAATGGCAGAGCACAGGGAGATCTATGCTACTGCTGCCTGTGTGCAACCAGTTCAATAAATATTAAGCTGAACTTGAGGTCTTCAGCTTCCAGATTCACAAGACATCTTTCCTGGCAACTAAGAAAAACTTTTTTTAAAAAAATGGCTTACCTTACAGTTTGCAACCACGCCATCAGAAACTTTTCAGAGAACCAATCAAAAGCAGTAGCCTTGCAGAACTGCCGTACTGACCTTGTCATTTTTATGCCTCCAAAATGTTTAAATAAAGGTACTAGTATCACGAATTCAGAGCAACTGTTCGGATCAGCTTTTTGTCATTAAGAAACGGTTCACTGCAAAACAGACCAAGTACTGTTTGTCACAAAGGGACTGCTCCTTAATAAAAGGATATGGATAGAAATGTAAGACATGAGATTAATTTTTTTAAATAAAAGATATAAATGTTCATGCTGCATGATGAAGTCAACCAGTAATTCTCAGTGCAGCTTTTCCCTTATTTTTAGGCTATTCCCTAAAAAAAAAAATTACGTTTGTCAACAGCCCATACTTCGGAGGAAAAGACAAGTTTCTGGACTATCTGGACTGGAGTCCTTAATCCAGCCCACACCTCCTCTTTACTAATGACCCAATGGCAATATTTTCTCATGTGATTCTTAGTAGGTCTTACGGGTTTGTCCTTGCTACAGTTTTCTCAGCTATATTATGAAACCTATAGTACTTAGTACTGCCACAGACATGCTGTGAGACTCATGTTTTGTGAAGTCCACTGACATCCTCAGAAAAGACATACTATAGCAACAGTAAATATTAAGAGCAGTTTACATAGCTAAAAGGATGCACAAAGTGAAGTAGCGCAGATAAAGGAGTTTTGGGCAATCAAAGGATGACTCTGATCCCACTAAAATGCTAAGAGCAGCTTTGCAAGTGACTTTAGCACAGCCAATTAACCTCAGATACTCATAAGGTTGTCCCATTAAAGGAAGTGCAAAGATCCCTCAAAG